CCCCCCCCCCCTCTCCAAGTATAAAAGGGGTGGGGGGGGGGGGGGAGGATTTTTGTTACGTAAGCTAAGCTAATTGGAGAAGGAAATACTCAGTAAGAAAAGGGGAAAGTTAGTTCAGAAGAGAGAGCACCTAAGCTGCACTGTCTGTAACCTATCTGTAACACAACTTTTACTCCACCTGTTCTTGCTTGTTCTGAAGCCACGTGTAAATAAAGCTTGGCTGTACTGCCTCACTGCCAGCTCTCGCAGCAGAGAGCACTGGGAAGGATTCGTGGTGGGAACCATTCATTTGCAGATCTACAAGAGAAATACAGTACCTTCAGAAAAACTGGTTGCTGTCACTTTAACCCTCAAGATACAGATCTCTATGGACATGCCTACAGCTCTTATGACTACAAGGCTAAAAACACTGCTGTGGAAAAATCTCTACCTGAACCCGACGTCCACAGCTTTGGTCCCCTTCTCGTAACCTGAGGACTCTGGACTGATCCATGCCAAGGGGAGTTTACATCCAGAATTCCCATCTTGCAATTTAAAGCAGGTGAGCTGAAAGGCGAACCAACATCAGACCCAGACGATGTCTTTAAAGGCATTAGGGATGATTTAACCAGTGAAGACATGGAGGCTCTGGGAACGATGTTAGTCCTCTGTGACTGGAAAGACATGTCTTCTGCCACAACAGCTCCTAATGACAAAGAACACACTGCATGAAGACAAACAGGCTGGCACATATGAAATAAGAGATGGGTTTGTTACTTGATTGCTGTTTCAACAACCTCTCTCTCATTAGAGCTTTTATTAAAGGACATTGTTTCTACTGTGGTTTTGCAAAGAAGTACACATCCCCATGAGCATGAAGTGTTTTAAAAAGTTCATCAGTTTAAGAACAGCAAGTGATAAGAGGGATGCTCCATGGATTTATTCATATTTCTCCTTTTGCTAGCTAGCATTGCTACACCCTGGCATACATCTACATAAAGTGTGCTTTTAGGATTAAGTACTAGAAAAAAGGCTACCTACAGAAGAATGGCAATTCTTTCTGATTCTGCTTGGTATGTAAGAAAAGACATGTCAGTCACAAAACCCAAGGAACAGCAGCACTGGAAGAAATTCACCTCTGACGTACTGACAGTCCCCTGCTGTTCCCAGGGCACTGGTATCCTGGGCACTGACAGCTAAGGGATTTGATTACCTGGCACCCCTTGCGCAAACACAGCTCTGCTGCCAGGAATGATGCCCAAGTCTGGCACATAAAACACCTGAAACACTTGCAGGCTGCACACAGCTCAAGAATCAGACTGGCTTTCCTTATTCTACAGTGATATTAGCAAATCACACATATTCAAAGTCCCCACAACAACAAAACAAAACCTCATTTTACCATCTTAAACTAATCATAAGAGCAGCTATGCAAATTACAAAGCATCTCTTGGCAAGACTTAAATTCACCCTGTACTAGGTTCAGCCGCTTACTAAAACTGTAATAATTAGACTTTCTTAATTCATGCAAGTGCGGGGAAAAATACTGTATTGAATATAACATCATGCGAAGTAAACTAAATGAGTAAACATGATCTTTCGAAGTTTTCTAGTTATGTTGGGATTATTTCAACATGAATACTTAAAATAAAATTGGGTGAGAGACTTTTTCTGTTTGCATTTATTTGCAGAAAACCCTGTGCCTGATTTAATGGAAACTAATGTACCTATGAAATCTATTGGTACTTTCATGCTTTACAAACTATTGTGAACGTTTCCTCATGTACCTGGAGTCTGTGGAGATACTTTCAGCTCTCCTGCTGGCTGCTTTGCTCTCCCATTTGCTGCTGCAGCATCCTGCTGTGTGATCAGCCTCTGGGTCAGATCACTCAGAAGACTCAAACACTCCCTTGATATTGCAGTCCAGTTGTGCGGGTGCCCACCTAGCAGTATGCACAGAAAAAGGCAATGCAGTCAGGCACATTTAACCCAAATGCTCATCCTTGTATCTATTCTGACTGTGCCCACGCACTCTCAGCATAAGCTTCAAAGATTATAGTACCACTCCATTTCTAAAAAGACATGGTGCATTTTCACTGTGACAGTTTATTTGTACTGAGAGGAAGATAAAAACATGGACAGACTCTATCCTCCTGTCAACAGATACCTACAAAAAGACTTTAGTGAAACCTGCTAAGCAAGCGGGAAAAACAGGCAGTTCGGCCCATCAGACCTCAAATCACTAAACAACTAAAATGAACAAAGCAATATCAATGGTGACCGTAAACAGCTCTGAAGTAGTACAAACACTACAATTCCTGATGAGGTCTAACAAAAAGTTCCTGAAGGCTTTTAAGCAGTTTTAATTGACCTTCTCTGTCATATCTTTGTATGTAGGAAGAGGCTTGAATACTAACTGAAATTATAGCCATTGTTTGCTTTCAGAACTCTAGTAGTGACTTACTATTTATGCTTGATTTCACCTCACTCACATCTCAACATTAGGCTTTCATACCCATCTGTTAGATTATACAGTTTGGACTATTTAACTAGTGGCATCAAGAGGACCCTGCTTTCAGTACCTCAAGGCCCGTGTTTCCTCATGGTTGTCATGTAAATCAGACAACAGGCACCAGAATTTGTGGAGTTTAGTAGATAAAGAAATATGAATATAGATAACTAAGCATCCCTTTGGAAAAGGCATCCACAGAGATACTTTTACTTATGAGGCCTTCTGGCTTGTGTAGCATGTGTCACAGCATTAAATAACTTCTAAAAGCATTTGACTGACACTTTGAAAAAAAAAAAAAAAACCCAAAGAAAAAGAATCAATACAAAATAGTTTTTATAATTACCTGGCTGACTAAGGCTAAAGACTTCCTGCCGCCGAACAGGAGAATATTGGGAAAGTAACATCAAGTCTTGCAAGGCTAAAAACTACAAAGAAGGGAAAATGTTTTAATGCATGTAAAGACCAATTTATTTCCTTAAAAAATGTAGTTATCCATACAAAAGCAGTCCCTAACAAAGAATGAATTCACACAGACTAAAACCAGCCGCGTAACAGAAAAAGGAAGGTGGCAAAGGCCTGCACACATCCCTAAAACCACTCTGGATGGGGCTGCTGAGTTAGTAAGAGCTTCAGAGAACTTTACTGATAAGTCACTTCTTTGGAGTTAAAGAAGATCTAACACCATTTTTTATCTTAACAGCTAACAGCTCAGCCAAAAAGAACCTAAGATGCAAAAGAGCCCAAGGAAAGAACTGTTTTTGCAAGGCAGAGCTCAACCACATAGTATGCCACACAGTACTGGATACCTAATACTGCTTTTTCATGTGATTAAGTAGTTAATGAGGCAAACCAAAAATAACCAGATTTTTCCCACTAGACAAGATACAATTATAAATTACACACTTCAGGAACGGCCAAGATTACAAATTAGACTTCCTCTACCTTTAACTGTGCTATGCAAAACTCTTCCTCACCCATCCTTTGATAGTGCAGCAAAGCTTAAAAAGAATTCAAAGGGATTGCAGCCTATTATATTCTCCAGTCTTATCAGAGATCTGTATAACCAGTAAATGTGGATTCTGCACATGCAAGAGAATATTCTTATCTTTATTTACATAATACTACTTATATGAGGCCTACAATTTTTAAGTATTATAATCAATAAACCCCATTAATAATTACCATAGTCAGACCAAAATTACACTCATTTACTCAGTTTTTAAGTAGCTTTTTAGTACTGTCTTTTTTTTAAAAAAAGACACCCAACTTCCGATGTAAATATGGAATTTTTTTTTTTTAATTTCAAGAGAGAACACACACCTAAAAACTCAAATATAAGTAGCAGGGGCAAAGTATTAAGAGCATACAAAGAGAAAAAACACCTGTTTATGTGAGAAAGACTCAAAGTTAAAATATTTAAAAAGACCTGAATTGCCACTAACCTTCTGTTTTAAGGTCAGTACGCACTAACATACTTATGCTGCAGACAAATAGCCCTTACCTCTGAGTCTGTTTTCAGCTCAGAGCACCAGCAGATGTCACTACTAACCAAGTTTTCCCCATGAGGTGTAACTGCCTCCTCCAGCCTTCCAAGGCAGCTTTTCAAAGAACTAGCAACCTCAGTTAAAATAACTAGTACCTAGAAGATCTGATTACACGCTTTGAGAAACACCTCAGCACACACCTAGCCAGGAAGATGGTGGGAATTCAATTACCTTTATAATGAAAGGAGGGTGGCTGTTTAGGATTTTAGGCAGGCACTGATCTGTCTCCTCAGCAAAAGTTGGCTGGACAGGAAAATGGTGCGTCTAAACATAAATACCAAAAGCTGTGTTATGCAGAGCAAAACTCAAGAAAACCTTATGAAACACCACACCTGAGCTGTTGCTTGTCAGAGGAATGAGTAACTACCAGAGCACATACCCCATTGCTTCAACATACCATAAACTAGCTTGAAATTTCTAACACAGAAACAAGAAGACTTTACTCTTTACATTTAAAATTGAGAAACCTTAGAAAATTCAGATATCTTTATCTTCAAATACCTTCCAGGTACCCATATAATTCATAGCGAGGGGCATCATATCATTACGAAAAGGAATTCCTCTAACCACATACTAAACTAGTGACACCACATTCAGAAAGAGACCGAAATCTAAACTGTAACATCTATCTTTAACAGTGTAACCACTCTAGTGAAGAACTGAGGGTTCTTTTACCAAATAATAAGATTTTTTAAATTCTTTTGCGCTGTTTCACTGATAAACTAATGATTTCTAATTTTTATCATGATATTCATATTCTGTGTTTTAACAGAATTTCTGTTCTTGTGGCTACAACGTTTAAAATGTAGATAGCAGTTGCTTAAATAGTATCAAACATTGCATCTTTTTAATGCTATAACATGGACCAGTTTGGGCACAAACTACCTGTCAGTTTTGTGTTACTGCACTCATTTTACATATCATATCTTTATTCTCCTCTGTTTCCAACTGCAAAACAGAAATTAGCAATTGCTTTCAAAGTGTTAATAAAATGACGTCATGTGAACTAAGTTTACAAATTCTTTCCTGACTTTTCAGTTAACGTTATGCAAATATTTACAAACAGCTTTGGAAGTTTTTTAGCTCATTTAAAAAAAGATCATGTGGATAAACAAATCCTTTTTTCAACAGTCAAAAGGGCAAGGTCCATTTTATACCTTCACAGCTGGATGTTTCTTTTGTCTTCCACAGCTTTATAAGCAATACAATAATTGCAAAAGTTGACACAGTGTTCGCTGGTGCTTCAACTATTATCTTTAAAATAGGTCGTTCACACCTCAGAGCTGTTGTTGGAGCCCAGATTCTGACTCATCCTTACATCAGTTATACTCAACTCACTGTTAATCTTTTCTCCATGCAGTCACAACAACTAGACCTTTTTAATTAAAGCTAACGCTCCAGCAAACCCTGGATGCCATTTCATTCCCTAAGAATGTTTTGTGAGGATTTAAACCTCGCTTTTTTCCCCCCTGCTAATCTGCAGTCTAGTAACGTTTAAAACAACAACAAAAAAATCAAGGTAGATGAACAATTTTTTCCTTTGTATTCTTACACAGAAATATCCGGATTTGTCAACAAAGATTAAGTCTTCTGCAATTCTTTGTTGGCAAGATTTTTTTTTCCTCTCTTCAATCACAGTCTCGCATTTATTCTAATACAATTCACTACACAGTTAAATGGTCTTTTTTTAGCCATATTAATTTATAACTTCATGATTGAATGAAAAAGCACAAGTGTCTTAATTCCCAAGATTGCTTGAAGCCTATTTTAACTCTGCAGCCTGATTTAGATTAACATGTCTCTGCTTTGCAGAACTGTGTACTTTGATGGTTTGCTTAAATTTGAGATTTTCTGTGAGCTAAGCTCTAGAAATCAACAGCATTTTGTTCTCTTTCCTATTGTAAAATTGGATTGAGAGCTATACAGTTTCTGGATGTTACCTTCCCATGTAATCTGTAGCTGTTTGTCACAAGTCTTCAGCTAGTCTCACAGTCAAATACAAAATCATTGCATGGAAACAAGTGCAGAGACCAAGCCAGTAAGCTCTGCCAGACACATATGGGCCCTGTGCTGGCTCATCTGCCTTTACACCTAGAGAGGACAAAGAACACTGTGCAGACTCCATGCAGCACAGAGTGGTTCTTTGTTAGGGTGGCCCCAGCAGCATCTGCAGGGATTTAGCATCAAACATGAACAGGATAAGTAGGACACAGAAACAGAAGCAGAGGAGTAAAAAGAGGAGGTGGAAATAACAAAGCATTAATTTTGTCTGGCTATAAAGGAGAAAAAGGGAAGGTCAGTTAACACCCAGGCTTCTCTCGACTATTCAGTTATCAGGAATTATTTGTAGTGCATGTTTTGAAAATTCAAAAATTCTTTAAAGTTATTTCATAGTAAAACTTGATTTGAAAAGAAAGTATTATCTGGGAAACACTGATGCTATATGTTTAGCACTGTCACTAACCTCTGTCACATAGATTTTGAAGAGTAACCACGCAATGTACCAGGTAATCAGAAGAAATACGCCACATAACCAGTCATGGTAAAACAAAGAGAGATCCAGTAAGCCGGTCAGAGTGTCAAGAGGATGCAATTTGCTGCAGATAAAATAATGAAGAAGATATAAGTATTTTTATTATGGAAGATGTCTACAGGAAGTTGTTAGAGTAGCAATAACTGAGAGAATATAGTTGCATTTTTTTTGCAAAAAAAGTTTCTTAATACCATTTCTTTAATTTTTCAGTAACCACGATGAAATGAAGTTAAGAAAAATTAATGAAATCAAGGAAAAAAGAAAGGAAATATGAAATAACGATTGCAGTTTTAGTCAATTAAGGTATTAAGATTTCAGTTTCCCTATTTTAAAACAAATGCTAGCCATATAAAAATGAAGATATGCCCCCCGCCAAAACACAGAAAAGCAGATAAAACAGCATGTGTGAGATTTGCCTTTCTAATATTTTAGAGATTTACAGAGATGAAGGAAACTAGAGAGGATTTCTTAATGACTACCCACACGACAGTTCCTACAAGGGGATGTTGGCTCCTTCTGGACCCATTTCAACAGTACCCAATGCTCCTCACGTTCCGTGTGGGCAGGCAAGGAACTGAGTCCTACTACGCAAAGAACCAGTTGCTAAGCTGGACTTCTTCAGTGAAGGGAGCTGTCAGCAATATTCTCCTGCAAGTTTTCAGCACAATGTGATACCTACCTGTCTATATGAAGATCCATTGTGGTACTTATCCACACCTTTGGGATGTAACCTAGGGGATCAAAAAGAAATGCTGGAACAAATATGACACTGCAAAACGCATACATGACAGGCCAAAAAGAAGACAAAAGTAGAACGCATGCACAGGCAAGAGACTGATCTTGTAACACGTGTGCGCCAGGAAACAATCTGCCTTTGGGTTTGTTTTGTTTTGTTAAGAAACAGAAACAAGAGAATGAAAAAAGGTGTCAGGCCAGCAACTATACATTGAGCGATGTAGACCTTGTCTCTTTTTGCTAGCTTCTCAGCACTGAGCTGTGTTTCTTCTCTAACAAGAGGGTTAACAGTAATTTAATATTAATTTTCACTACAGCTCAGGCAGCAGTAAAGTGCTTTTAAAGACTTAATGGAAAATGATATAGAACCACCATACTTCTAACTTATCCCTCAAGGTAAATAAAGTGGAAATAATTCTAGCATATTTGACATCATTTAGGAGGATAATAACAACCACAACACAAAAAAATCCTGATTTTCAGAAAGTCCAGTGCAATCATCTCCACGAGCACAGATTTTTTTACCACAGTTTTAAAGACCAAACTTCATTTTCATATGAGAGGGAGCCATACTGCTTTTGTCTCCCTAGCTTTCTCCAAACAATACAAAGGGCACTTGAGAATAAAGCCAGAGTGCTAATTTTTACTTTAAAAATAGTGAGAATATAGCAACATTACATATAGTGAAGTAATGCCCGCTGCTGTTATGTCAGGTTCAGCTCTGCAACACTGTATTTCCAATATCAGGCAATGGAAGGAGCAGTCCAAGGCATGGAGATGTTTATCCATGTTAAAAAATATTTGGGTATAGTTAAAGAAAAAAGGGAAGACTAAACCAATTTTTTTTAATTGCACGGTGTTTTCAGATTTATAATCTTTTTGCCACAAATCACAACAGGTATGTAAACAGTGGCCCAAAGCATCAGGTTTTAAAATGCACACTTGTAAAGCACCAGCTGATTAGAATTTGGTAGCTCCTCTTACAGGCAAGTTATTTCACAGCTGCCGCTAATAAGATTTCCTGCACAGAAGAGATGTACAGAGACAGCAGTCTATGTTTCGGTACGGTGACCAAACACAGACTTCAGGTTAGAAAACTATTGCTCCCCACTCCCTTGTCCTTAGAATACTGTCATTATCTTAGAATGTTACCAGCTAGACAATAAATTCTTAGAGCAGGTGTTAATCTCTTTGAAGAAGAGTCATTTCTCATATGCTAAAGAAACTTCTGTGAGGCTGTAAGAATTGCCATCATACAAATATTGCTGTACAAATCCTTTGCCTTTTCTTACTGTTTGACACAGATGTTAGATCTCTATTTGTTTAAACAAGTCTATGTGCCTCCAGCAAGTTACCTAGAAGGCTGAAAAATAGTATAACAGCACTTATGGATTAAAAATAAAGTTTTCAAAATACAGGAATTAAAAAAAAAAAAAAATAAAAAAAAAAAAGAAAGAGAAAATTTCATGAACCCTTACCGAAAAAGTAGTATGCAACACAGAAGTTTCTAACAAAGTATAGCGACTCCACACAACTGTGTTTAATGAGGAGAGGCAAAGATCTCCTGAAACGTAAGTACTTGTATTGCTAAAAACAAATAAAAAAATAGTTTAGTATTTCACATTCAGAACAAATCAATTAAATGATTAAAAAAAAATACAAGGTACTTGAAAACCTGAAGTATAGATGAATTTTAAAAAAAATCAGTTTAAGGCAATTCCAGGTCTTACAGCTATATTTATTCTCCCGATCTCTTTCTGCTATTTTATAATCATCTCTAGTTCTCATCCCTTTTCCTACTTGCAGAAGTAGGAAAATGGAGGATGGGGTAAATTGACTCTATACACAGGGGAACAAACTAGAAGAATGTCGTCTAATCCAAAATAAACAAACAAAAATAAACCCAAAGGAGGACTATTTAATCTACTAGATTTCATTCAGCTTAGAACCATTCCATTAAAATATAGGGAAAATTCAGACAAGCATGAGTTACAGAGTCAGTAATCCTCCAAGCAGCAAAACCACTCTTATCCATACAAATTATGTCTTTCCAAACAACTAAAGCAACCTGTCTGACACTATATGCAAATGAAACCAAAGCATTTTACATTTTTTACTCAGCTAAGTGGCATTTAAAAAAAAAAAAATAGGAAAATATTAAAATAATAGATTTTTTAAAAAATACTATAACTACAGCTTTGCCAAAATGATGCTTGGTTTGCTGATAATCCAAACAGTCATGACTGAAATGTTTTCCATTAATACAACCAACTTTGTTTAAAGGTTGCCAAATCAGTTGGACTTTGTATTTCTGGGAATCATGCAAAGTTAATGGCTGCTGTGAAGCTACAGGAAAAGAAGAAATATTTTTAAGATGACGCTTCACAAGCCACTCCTCTCCATTTCAGTGGTACAGATTTCTGTAGAACTGCTAGAGCCCCCTCCAAAGGAATTAATGGAATTTCAGTTTCTCTTCACCACTACACACACAAACAAGCTTTGAATGTGGAGCTTTAAGCAATAGCTTAATGTGCTATTTAGACTTTAAGTGAGCTGGTATCCACTTACAACTGGTAGTATGCTTTTTTTTTTTTTACTCTCAAGATTTTCAGCTTTCAGATGACCCTTATTGTCAGTTCCAGGAGTTAATATTCAGTCTGTGTATTGACTCTTTCATGTAGCTCACTTTCTGCAATGGTCCACCTCAGCCAGCTTTTAACATGCATCAGAGGAGGGTAAATTTCATAGTTACAGCATCCTGGATTTCTGTGTTCATGTGAAAGGAGCTGAGCAGGAAGGAGGAAGATGAACACTACCAGCATTTAAAGCTAACCAAGTGTATGCTTCATCTATTAGTGAAAGCATGCCAACAGACAGCTGCTACTGCCATATTTAAAAATATAAACAATCACAGCTTTTTTGATCACTGTTTTACTTAGACATGTCTTTCTGCAAAGGTGTTTAAACCTCTTACCTGTATGATTGGAAATGGCAAATAATTCATATTGTTAATAAGATACAAAAGACTATAACTGTATCCCATGAAAGCTCCAGAAAGTAGAAAAAAGAGGTGGTACTCATTTAGGCACATCTGAGGAACAGCATCATCTAGGCTGAAATAGAACACTGAGAATTAATTCCAAGTTCAAAAAAAAAAAAAAAAAAAAAAAAAAAAAAAGTCTAGCATTAGGAAGTTCAAACCAGCAGTTTGATTTTACTTTCCTAATCAATACATATGATGATATCTCAGCAAATTTTTTCTAAGGTAGGAATGCCACCACCTATTTTGTAATTCATGTATGAAGATGCTCCCAGACATCACATTATCCAGAAGACCAAGACTTAGTTCAAGTGACAACCAATTTGTCAGCATCCAACTTCTCATTAAGAACCCTGGCAATGTAGTTTTTCTGGCCCAGTTATTTCTCTGTGCATTGTAACATTTACAAAGGAGGGTATTTCCTATCCTTTAATAAAGGGTATCGACATACAATTGTTTATTTTTGATAGTATTCAAATTTTAGGTTTTTATTTGAAAGAAGCCATCACTACAATAGAAGTTCTTTGCATAATTTACCTTTAACATACAGAAATAATTACCTTTCTGAAGGCGTGCAGGGCACAGCAAGAAACTGGAACTTCCCTTTTGTCATAACTGCAGCGCACCAAGCCACCAACATTCCCATTACAGCATGAACGACTGAATGGATAACTTGCTGAGGATGAATAATTTTTCCTATCAGTGCTAATCGGGAGCATGGTATCGATGGCACAACTGTAAACAAAAGCCAAAAGTGAATTTTCATATCTTACCAATGAAACCCTTCATTAAAAAAAAAAAAAAAAATAAAAAAAGGTCACCAAAGAACTTTTCACAGTTGGAATCGGTCGTTAAATGATAAAGAAATCAAGGAAGCCACTTAGCTAAGGGGATCTCAGCTGTGACGTAAAGCAGGAGTCTGGGATGATTTACTTAAAAATAAGCTTTGTGTATTGTCTATATTAAATTTAAAAGGAAACGTACCGATGTTAAATACATTGAATGTAAATACAAACCTCTTAAATGCTCATCATACTTAATTCAGGTATCACCAACAGTTCAGCAATTTATATAACCCACCTGCATAAAATTCAACGTTGAAGATACTTATTATTAGTATCACCACAGACATGAGGAGGATACAAAAGATGACATAGGAAGTATATAAATCATTGAAAGAATCTAAAATAAAAAAAAAAAAAATTATTGCTCAGAAGATTGCAGTAACAGCGACACATTAAGTAACAGAAAAGAACACTTAAGCAGTTAGCAATAATCCATTGAGCGCATAAAACAGAGCAATGTTTGATGGACTCTATAATCTCATACCAGATCTGCCCAGCTGCACAATATTTGCGCATAAAAGCATACTTAGATTTTACAGAAACTATTTTACACCTTTATAGCTGGTTTTCTCATAAGTAAACACTCAGAATTGTTAAAAAAATATCTTTCAAAGTAAATTAAACTATAGCTCAACTAACACCAGTTCCTTTCATTTAATAAAAGCTGCAACCATACAGCCACGCTTAGAAGATAAGAAATCCCTTACAAAGTAAATTGCTTTTGATTGGTTCTTTTGGGCTTCTGTATTTTCAAAGGGGGAAAGAAATCAAGTCTCTGCCTGGACCAGCTAAATGATCACAGGTATCAAGCTTCCACCTAAACATCTCTCAGTTTTCTTTGTGTGCACTCAAGGGAAAGTTATTCTCAACATGCAGAGCAGCTATCTAAGGAATTGCACTTGTGATTCAATGCACCAAAGTTAGAGGAAACTTAAGCTCTTTATGCAAACAGCGGCTGTGCAGGGCAGAAAGGGGAAGCATGTCCAAGTACTTAGAATAGACAGCTAAGTCATTTAACCTAACTTTTTCTCTAAAGTATAAACTTGAGCTTGCAACAGCCATTTCTACCTAGGGAGGATTATGGTTATTATGGTTATAAGTAACACAGAAACTTACATTTCAAAGCCTAAAGGCCATTCAGAAACAAACAAAGTAGAAATATAACACAACGCCACCCTCAGTTCCCATTCATTATCTGAGACTGAGCCCAAACCAACAGATTGGGGGCGGGAGGCAAATACAAGCACGTGACTGGGAAAATGCAAAACCATCAAAGGGCACATGTCAAGTACTGCAGCAGAAGCGATTTTATTTTGTAAACGGATTTAAAATATTAACATCGGGTCCCTTTCTGTAACAAAGCACTTAAACGATCCCTGCTAGGCCCACAAGCAGATCTGAAAGGTAAAGGCAGGCACGCACCGACGCGCTCCGTGCCCCGCTGACACACAGCCAGGCACTTGCTCCCCTCCCCGCAGCCCCTG